CCCTTATCTGAACCCAACCATGCTGGCATCTAGGACCTCCAGTCTCCAGAACTGAAAAATAAATCTCCTATTTAAGCTACTTATGCTATTTTGTTATGACAACTTGAGCTGACTAAAACATACTTTGGAAATGTTACAGTGCTGGGATCAAGAAATGTCTGTTCTAGTCCATTTTCCTTGCTAGTTGGAAAGGAAATGCTACCAAACAAAAATATCATAAACACTAAAGACAAGACAATTATAAATGTCATAGCTAGTCATTTGGGTTTTAAGTGGGATGACAAAATAAGATAAAATGGAAATGAGAAGAAAAAAGTCTTCACTGTGTGTCTCTAATATTCTTTTCAAGTTTACCTCCCTCAACCTCTTAAAAATGAGCTGCATTTTGCCACTTAAGACCAACTAATTCTTTTTTTTTTTTTTTTTGGAGAGGTTTTTGCTATAGGGCGTGTGCACTCACGAGGCAGAGAGAGGCAGAGAGACAGAAAGCGAGAAATCACCCCCCGGGGGGATGGCCACACCACAATCCCTTCTCCTCCATTCTCCTCTCGAGATCTTGGGCACACACGCACACGCACCCGGCATGAGTTTAAGCCACTGGGTCCGGGACTCGAACCGCAGTCGACTACGTGGGAGTCCAGCGACATAGCCATTATGCTAATTGCTGGTCCCCAAGACCGACTCATTCTTCACCCAACTTTCTGCCTCAGGAAGCAGGATCCTGGATTCTCACTGGCTTGTCGAATGTGTAGTCCAGAAAAGGGAGAAGGAGAATGAGACATCAGGGCATTTGTTTCTTTATTCCTCTGGCTCCTCTTCTATGAGATTACTGTGAACTAACTGTGTCCTTCAACCAGAGCTCAGTACTACTCCCAAGATGCCATATTCTTGTTTCCCTCTGGAACTTGGTTAAATGAATAAATGAATGAATGAGTGAATGAATAAATGCATCCCTTGCTTTCCGTGTCCCGAGCTAGGTTACAAATTGCTTGTCCCTCTGCCCTACTTCCTCTGAATCCTTTTAGGATTCCCCTGTACACTCAACTTGAAAACAGCCTTTTTGAAAATAAAACCTATACAAACTGTCCTGTTTTGAGTGTGCCATTTGCTTCCTATTGGGACCGCGATCAATACAATCTCACTGAAGCAGCACTCTCAGGTCTGAATATCCTTCTTCCCTCTCTGTCTCTGGTCAACTTCTAAACATGTTTTCAATCATGCTTGAATGTCAGTGCTCCTCTGTAATTTCCCATTATTGACACGGAATAAATAAACTGCTCTATTTTTTGTTCTGCTAGCATTTTATGTTTAAAATGCAAGTACAGACACATGCATGCACCCGTATAGACATACCACCTACGTATTATAAGACAGTACAAGCATTACAAATTAAGACAGCACTTGACAGAGAACAGACACTCAATAATTGTGCTAAATTGCTTTGAAACAACTTGTGGAAAATATTTCAAATATAACAATGTTACTAAGGTACATATTTTAAGAGTGAACAAAAAATGCTTTGGTTTGGGTAAATCTCCAAAAGGAAAGCATGTTAAAAACATTAATGTCTAAATATCCATCAGGAAAGTAGTCATCTATTCTTATATGTTTATAGTCTTGAATGTTTAATTCCCCTTATTATACTATTTTCTTTTCTTTTTTTTTTTTGTATTTTGAGAGTTTTTTGTTTGTTTCTGATTTTTTTTATTTGTTTGATTTGGCAAAAGGGTGCATGCATTTGCCAGAGAGACAGAGACAAAAAGAGAGAAATTACACACATATACCACCACCACCACCACCCCAGGGCAGATAGTCAAGCTGCCATCCTTTCTTCTCCATTCTCCTCTTGGGATTTGGGGCATGAATGCACATGTGCCAGGCATGAGTTCTAAGTTGCCAAGTCCAGGACTCAAACCATGGTCAACCACATGAGAGTCTAGTACCTTAACCACTATGTCACCTGCTGGTCCCCTTATTATATTTTAATATATATTTGCATTTGTTTGATAAACTTACTTATAAACCTAAAAAAGGAGACATTTACATAACTACATAATAAATTAGAATTTTTTCAAAGTACTAAACTGAAAAATAGCAGCTGTTTTTACAGAGAAAACAAAGCTATATTTCAACGGTAGATAACAGCTCATTTTTTGCTAATGATTCCTGGATAATTCATAAGAGAGAGAGCCTTAAGTGAGTTACAAAGGTCAGTCCCTTGGGGACTCAAATAAATTTCAAGTTCAATTTAAAATAAGACTTTTAATTACCAAGATAGACTATCTGGAGAAACTTCAAATTGAAAGGCCAAAAACTTCTAGTTGGTTTTTATAGAGAATTTAATCCCTCCTACAAAGGAAATCTGATATATCATTTTCCATAAGTGATTAACAAATTATATCACTATATTAATATCAAAGCATCTAAAATGGTTCTTCAACATTTGAAATACCTAATGACTCCAAATAATTTCAGGCTTAAATTTCTAATTAATTGTCCTCATTGAAATTTTTAGAGACAGTAATGTAAGAAATTACCTAACAATTTACATTACACTTATTAAATGCTTTGCTATTTCATGTAGATTTTAAAAACCAGGTGACAATATAAAGGCCATTTTTTATTATAAGATTATTTTATTTAATCAAGATAAATAAATTTTTGAAAGAGTATAACATAGTACAAGGTATAGTACAGAAGGTACAAATGATTTGGAGTCAGAGTGGAAAGGCAAATGCCTCCCATAATTCCCAGGATATATCAATGATAATCATTCGTAGTATTCAATTATTTTTCCCATGTATAGTAACAGCATATAAAAATTATTCATTCTACCTTTAATTGAAAAAGTAGGTAAAGTGTCAGAGCTCATAAAATTTTCTAATTGAAAAATGCAGAAGGAACTTCTGCAGCACTTTTTTTAAAAAAAGTAGTAAGTTCAATCCTAAAGAAAAGACAAAAAAAGAGAAAAGGTCAAAAAATGGCCTTAAGACCTAAGGCAACAATGAAGCCACTATGACAGCTTGTCTCACAGTTGTCTCGCCTCCCAGTTTCCATAAAATCAGACCTTATAAACTACAGAAGAATCACACTATTTGATTTATTCCTTCAAAGATGGGGCCTTAAAATGGCTCTAACATTCAATAAATATTTCTCGAGTGCCTACTCTGGCAGGCACTAAGAATTGAAAATATACAATAGTAGCGAACAAAACAGCAAAGATCCTGATCTTGTGGAGCTGATACTGACATGGAAAAAAAGGGATTATTTATATTAAATTTAAATCCTTCTTATTGAACAGTGTTGCTGTTTTTTCTCTTTTTTACTACAGATAAAACAAACAAACAAACAAACAAACAAACAAACAAAAAACCCAGGCTGCATCCTATGTTAAAATGTCTCCTTATTCCATAAAATATGCTTTTTTTGTTACTCTATGATATTTGGCAATGTTTCAGTAATTTTCATACTGTAAACTGAACAACTAATTTTCATTAGTTGTAAAAAAAAAAAAGCATGCAGAACAAACATACTATGCATCCTATGAATCTTGATTTTTAAATATACTTTAAACAACTTGAAATTACGACTTTTTTTTTTATTTGGGAGAGTGGAGAGGTTTCTGCTATAGGTCATGTGCGCTCACCTGAGAGACAGCGAGAAATCACTCGCTAGGGGGGATGGTCATGCCACAATCCCTTCTCCTCCATTCTCCTCTCGGGATCTTAGGCATGCACTCACATGCGCCCAGTGTGAGTTTAAGCCACCGGGTCTGGGACTTGAACTGTGGTTGACTCCATGGGAGTCCAGCATCATGGCCATTACTCCAACTGCTGGTCCCAAAATTACTACTGTCAGACAGCAATAGCCAAGAAAAATAATTCAGTCACAAGGTTTGTCATAATAGATATCAGAGAAAGGGAAAGAAATGAAGGATAATGATAATATTATATAATTCCATGAGCAAAGGTTAAAATCAAGTAAATGTGAAAGGGTTTAGATACCTTCCCATGTAATCAAATGCTCTTAATCTGGGATCTATATTTGGGAGCCCAACTGTCAAGCATACCTTGAAGAGTCAGGAGAGAGACTGTGTGTGTGTGTCTGCTGTGTCTGCTCAGTAGCCCTGAGTCACCTAAATTAGAGGGAACACAGAGGATGCTCATCAGGAGAAATGCCTTCTCCTCCCAAGTCAAAGGCAGATACAGGAAAGAACCAGAAAAAGTAAGTTCCTAAAAAGCATGTGCTTCCAACAGTTTCTCCTCCCACATTGGCATGGCTCATCACAATGTTGATTTTACCAAGACTCTGTTGTTTTCACTTTTGTTTTTTCTATAGGGTGTGTGCACTCACCAAAGACAAAGCAAGAGAAAGCAAGAAATCACTCCCCAGGGTGGATGCCCACACCAAAATCCCCTCTCCTTCATTCACCTCCTGGGATTTTGGGTACACCCATGCACCTTACATGATTTTCAAGTTCCAGGGTCAAGGACTTGAACTGCACAGTTGGCGACATAGAATCCCATGCCCACCCCGACCTTCACACCACCTGCTGACCCACCAAGACTCTTTTTAAAAATCCTCTAGACATTTGCCGATTTAATAATTTTCATTTTTCTATTAAACTTATTCTCCAAAATAAATTTATGTAATTGCTGAAAATCACTACATGGCTCTTCTAATATAAAGTTTTTAATCTTGTGATAATAATCACACTGAGTACCCACACCAGTATGTCATATCTGGTTTCCTTTCTTAGGCATCTATCATGACAAACCTGGTGACCGAAGATATTTGGTATTTTACCAGTCAAGCAGCTCTAATCTAACATTCCAGCTTATAAACACCCCCTCTTAAATTTTCCTCTGTTTAGATATTTAGATCGTGGTTTCTCCTACAATTATTATGTACCAATTGCACATTCTAATCATTAAAATCAGACTTAGGGGACAAGATTTAAAAATCATAAGTTCAAACAAAAACAGGAGGGAGGAACATACCTTTAATTTGGATCCATGGGGCACCACTACAGATTTATTCTGCTTTGGTGGGATATATAGCTCCCATTTTCCATAATCCAGTTTTTTATATGGGTATGAAAAGGGATTCCAACCATCTGGAAAAATATAGGATCAGTTAACAATAGCATGATAGAATTATTTAATGAGTTTCTAGTAAATAATAATGTAATACTTGCACAAAATCAAATAGCCTAAAAAATAATGTTTTCTAAGGTGTGAAGCAAATTAACATCCGTTTAGAAAAAACAGCCACCACTTGAGAGACTGAAAACCAACTGGTGAACTCAGATTATTTTAGCCTGGAAAACTTAAACATACTAGACACAGTTGCACACACCTGTAATCCCAACTAACTAGGAATCTTGGTCAGAAGAAGATTGTCACACAGTGAGGCCCTGTCAAAGATACCCATTGCAGTCTCTCAGTTTTTCTCTCTTCCCCTCTTTCACATTAAAGAGAGAGAGAGAGAGAGAGATGCAAGTTATTCTTAATCTATTTGTAAAACACTCACTTGAAAGATTGTGTTTTGGATTTCAAAATAAAGATTACAATACACTTTCAACTCGGAAGACACTCACTTGAAAGATTGGATTCCAAAATAAAGATTACAATACACTTTCAACTCTAATACTTCTATTGATGAATAAAATATAAAAGAAAATAATGAGTCCTTTTTTAAGAAACACCCCATCAACAAAGAGATGATATGAAAAAAAACAGAAATGGATTCTAGATACTTAGATAAGAACCTGCCATAGTGGGAAAAAGTGATAGAAAATAATTCGAATTATATAATATTTACTTAAATCTGTAAGTATGTGGCAGATTTGAATTAAAATCTAAAGAAATACCTTAAGCAAGTAAGGGGGGAAGTTAGATAAACTATAGGAGGCAAAGAAAAAAAAAGGTGGACCTCCAATCCGAGACGAAAACCAAAATGAACAGGAGCAGACTCCAAATTAGCATATAGTAGAGGTATTATTAAAAATTATCTGGACCAGCAGTTAGTGTAATGGCTATTGCGCTGGACTCCCATGTAGTCGACCATGGTTCAAGTCCCGGACCCGGTGGCTTGAACTCATGCTGAACATGTGTGCATGCGTGCCCAAGATCCCAAGAGGAGAATGGAGGAGAAGGGATTGTGCATGGCCATCCCCCCGGGGGGGGGGATTTCTCACTTTCTGTCTCTCTGGCGAGCACATGTGCCCTATAGTGAAAACCTCTCCAAATAAAGAAAAAAAAAAAAAATTACCAAGTAAAAGACACACTATTCAACAAGTGGTACAGGAGGACTAACCCTGTAATGTGATAGCACAATGATTAAGAAAGCCTGATCCCAAATGACTAACAACAATTCAACTCCTGACAACTATGCCTTAAAAAACACACCAGGTGCATGTGTGTACATACTTCAAATCCTGATGGAATAGATAGACAAATAGAGGAAACAGACAAGTGGAGAAGGGATTGCAGCATGACCACACCCCATTAAGGGGGTGCTTGCTCTCTCTCAAGGCCTCTCTCTTCCTTGCAATTAAAAAAAAAATAGAAAAGAAAAAAAAAAGCTGAAACAATTAGCTATCCTTATTAAAAACAATGAAATGTATCTCAATGTAATAATATGCCTCAAATAATCTGGATTGATGTTTAAATATGATGGATGAAATTATAAAATGCTTAGATGAAAATACATTTTAAAACTTAGGTTTTAAAAGGATGCTTAAAATAAGATATAAAGAAACAAGAGAATATTATAAGGAGAAAACTAATAAATTTGATCACTTAAACAATAAATATACTCATCTATATCTAGACAGAAAGACAAAGTATCAACTAGGAAAACACATTTATAATGAATATACCCAGAAAAAGACAGCATCCAAAATACTGGGTTGTCAGGAAAATCATGATGTATATTTGAATAGAAAAACACATAGAAAAATACGTCATGAATTTCCTGACAACCTAATATATGAAGACACTGTAGGATAGTGAAAAAAAGAAAATAAACAGATCAAAAAATAAACAAAGAATATATTCAGGGAAAGACACTTGAATGGCCAATAAACATATGAAATGATACTCAAGCTCATTTCTAACCAAAAAATTACAAATTAAAACAACTATGAGATGCCATTTTCCACTCATTGGATTGGCAAAAATTAAACTGAAAATAGGGAGTAGTCAGCAAGGATATAAAACAACACTGCTATGAGGCTATAAATCAGTAAAAAACAATTTGGCATTATGTAGCAAAATTGAAGATGTATTAACCCTAAGGCCCAACAATTCTACTCCTAGGTAATAGCCTAGACAAATGCTCATAAATATACACAAAAATTGTGTTCAAAATATTCAATGAAGAATTGTTTGCAATAGCAAAAATTGGAAGCTATCAAAATTTAAATCAACCAGAAAATGGATAAATATCTTGTGATATAATTAAACAACAGGATGGTACACGATCATATGAAATGAATAATTAATTTAAAGTGACTACATTGACATATGCAAATATCCAAAACATAAAAGTTATCTTTAAAGGGACACAGAAGAAGAGCATATATTTCAAGATAAAAAACTGTGCAACATATTATAACACTTAACAAAGTATATGTACCTAATAAAAATATTAAATTGAAATACAAATGTAAAACATCAGATTCTATGGTAATTCTGAGTTGAGGAAAGGGCACACAAGAAGTTTCAATAATAACTGTAATACGTTATTTTTAATATATCTGATGTAATGCTTTTTACATTATTTGTCATTTATGCTTAAAATATTACATAGTATAAAAAAAGTTAAAGAGTTCAATGACATACCCTGCATTGCTATGACATTAAATTCTCCACCCAGGGGAAATAAAATAATTGGGAAGTTTGTTCTATGCAATGTCTTTATTCTTTACATACCAATTATTTTACCCCGTGGAATTGAAAGATCTTCTCCCTCAGTCAGTCTATACACTCAGGGTAGGAAGGGACTAAGAAATAATATTTAAACAATGGTCCTTCTAAACATTTACATATTCCTTACCAGAAAGAAAAACTGAAAATGTTGAAAAGTGATTTCACTTCAGAAGAAGCTTAACAGGTTCAGTATTATTACATTCCTTTACTCCTAAAACCTCAAACACATCTCACCTGAATATGGTGTGACATTACATTACTGAAATAGAATGTAGTCCATAATTGGATAAAATAATAAAAGCTTAGGACCAGCAGTTTGCATAATGGCTATGTTGCTGGATTCCCATGTAGTCAACTGCAGTTTGAGTCCTGGACCCAGTGGCTTAAACTCACACTGGGCGTGTGTGCATGCACAAGATCCCAAGAGAATGGAGGAGAAGGGATTGCGGCGTAGTCATCCTCCCTGGGGGGTGATTTCTCACTTTCTCTCTCTGTGTCTCTGTTTGTCTTTCTGGTGAGCTCACACGTCTGATAGTAAAAAGCTCTCAAATAAATAAATAAATAAATAAATAAATAAATGCTTGAACTATAAAATATCTGGGTACTGTTAACATTATATGATTACTGAATTTCTTTTTGAGTTATTCACTTAAGACAATAAACTAAGATGAGCAAGTCTTTTCCTGGTTAGTTAGCAAGATCTGAAAATAAAGGGTACATTTCACTAGTTCATGCATTCATTTAGTATGTATCATGTTCTCTAAGTTCTTAGTTTATTTCTTTATTTCTTCCATAAGAGAGAGAGAGAGAGATAGAGAGAGAGAACAAAAGAGAGAACACATCTAACAGGATCTAGAAGCCACAATCCACTCCCAGGTTCAGAAAGCCCTGGATCATAGGTACTTGTGTGCCTGTTGCACTCAGGGAGATCCCCAGTGCAAATCCAGAACTTTCCCATGTGGGTCCGTGTCAGAGCACTGTATTTTACCACTGTGCCACCACCTGATCCCTGCCCAGAATTTGGAATGTAGGCCTTGCTCAATGCCGAATGGAGTACAGTCTTCAAAATGAGTCATAGCTTGTCAAGAAAAGGTTAAACTGAATAGAAGCACACTAAAATAAATAGTAAAATTTATAATAGAGTATCCACTGAAAATTCAATGTATAAGATTTTATTTTCAAAGTGAAATTTCAATGATACATGGAATTTAAATATGCAGTATTATATAAAAAAGTTATTTTGTGACCAGTATCATGGCCCACATAAGCTGGGATTAGGAGGAGCCAGATCCCACAAGGCTGAACATGTACTTCAAATCCTGGTCCCAACAGCTGGAGGAACATGCCAGGCATGTGTGCATGTCCTCAAGGTCCCAATTGGATAAAGGAGAGAAGAAGAAGGGATAGTAGTGTGACCACACTCTGAGGGGAGGTGAGTGCTTTCTCTCTCTCTTTCTCCCTCTGGTGAGGGCATGCACTCTCTGATAAATAATAATAAAAAAACTGTTTTAGTCATGTAAAAACATTTTTCATTATCATTTGACCCAGTTCTTCAGCATGCTCTCTTATGAGTTTTAAGATATATTAAAACAAATATTAATATTTCTATAAAGAAAAATACTTTTACTGTATCACATTTTCATTTTATAATAGCTCAATGACCTATAACTCTTAAAGCATATGTAGAGTATCTGTAGTTCTATATTGTGAAAAAAAAATTTTTTTCTATGAAGACTTACATTTTCCTAAGACTCTTGCTCTACGTGGTAACTCAGTTGTTGAATTTCACTATAGGTACTTTTTTTTTTTTTTTTTTGACCAAACCTTCAAAGGAAAACTTGGAACCTCTTCATAAGTATCCCAAAAGAAAACCCATTCCACCAACTATTATGAACGAGGTAAGTCATACTAAAGAATTCATATGGAGAGAAAGGAAGATTTGCAAGCATACCTAGGTATGAAACTACTTAAGACTTCTGCACTAACCAATCCTCTCCCCAAGTAAATCCCTCTTTAGTTACAATACTACATAGTCTTTTGCCTCCTTGACACTTTCTAATCTTCACTCAGCCCAGAATTCTATTCCACTTCCTTCCTTTATTAAATAGTACTTCTTCTTTCTGTTTAAAACATGAGCGCCTGAGCTGGCCCTATGGTCTACCTAGTGAATAAGAAAGCCAGA